AAAAAAAACGGATGATGAAGGTAATAGATACGGATGGCTCCTGTGAAATCTTAGTTTTTCGCATCTTCCCTATAGCGCTGCTTTTACCCAAACTTTACATCACTACGGAGGGAAGCTTTTTCTACTCATAGTCAACGCAAGAACTTTAGAGTTTGGACAGGGGTTTCGGTAAGCTTTTTTTCATTTTACGAATGGTGCGGCCCCTGTTCTTTTTATCATGACTCTGATAACCGGCATCCAGTTTATAATGGAGCCTCATTAGCGAAAATCACCTTTCAGGAAGCTCTTCATTTGTAAACGGCTCTCCTACCATCGTCACATTATCCATTCCAGCTGGTGATTGTAGGAAATCCATTTTCATCAAACTTCCCAAACGCCTTTCGGCCACTTCCGGTGAATACTCTGCCTAAACATTCCTTGTGACAAAAAGGATTTCACAATACTTTCAAATACAAAAACAAGTTTGGGAAGGTGGTATCAAAGAAGAATTTTATGTATGTTGCTGCCCGTGAAACAAGTATTTCAAGAACCTTCAAATTTACAATATTGGTGCTTCATTATTTGACATAAGAAAGCTGACCTGCAGCTCAACGAAGTGGATCACGGGATGGCGGACCATTTTTGAGCCTATTTTGTTGATTACTGCCCTATTTGTTTTCATGAGGTTTCGACCCCCCTCCCCCCAATCAGTAAGTTCTTGGTATAACTGCTGCGGCGAAGCGCGCTCTTTCGAAAAATCTCTCCAGTGATTCGATGACAACAACCATGACAACCGCTCAAGTGATAGTAGACCTCAGTGGATGGTCCAGTTGATTTCATCCGGTCATCTTATTTGACTTCAGTTTGCCAGTAAACAGTAAATAAGGGGATTCCATTTCGGTGAGGTAGGGTAAGCTTGTGGGGCAACCACCAAGGATTACCTATCACCTATCACCTTGAGGTATATCAGAGTGATCGAAAAAAAATCTCCAGGAAGTCCAAGAATATTTGAGAACTACAAGAAAGGTGGAACCTCTGACATTTTTGAAAGAGAGCAAAAGGATGACAAATGCGAAAAACTCAAAGTTTTCATTTTGTCGACGTTATCGAAAACTGACCTCGAAAAATGGTTGTTGTTTGTTGACGTAGTCCACTAAGGCTTCGCCGCTCAGCTCTTCAGCATACTTGGGTATGGGCCGAGCGGCGAATTCTTCTGGAAGATCTTTAAATATTTACGGATTGTTCATTACTTGCTATGAATCAAATAGTGAATTACTGTGTACAGCTGGATGGTTTTCAAAGTTTCGGTCTCAGAGTGGCGATCAAATATCTTTGCAACAAATAAACAACCACTCGTAAGCATAAATAGAAAGCCTCATACCTATTGTGAGCACTTTTTCGAGGGAGCCGTGGAAAAGGATGGAGTTAAAGATGAGTAAGACCTGAAGAACCGACTCAAAGATAGAATGCCTCTCATTCTCGTTGACTTCTCCTTTCACAGACACAGTTCGCGAAAAGATTGGATTCCTAGATTTCCCGAAGGTAGCAATCTACGGTTCCCAAGAAAGCCTCATGAGGAAGCAGTATTTCCTAAGCGGCCCTGACATGATACAGTAAATGCTCAAAATATCTCGCGCGTCAACTGCTAGCACAATGCTCTTCGGTTTTAAACAATTTGTGAGAGAAATTCTATGAGAGGAGCCAGGCGGTATCGTTTCTAACACTTGGCCAAACCAAAGATAAGACTTACATTAGCTCATTACCCTCTTACTCACCAGTATTAGTTGTTGCTGATTGAGCATAGTTAAAGTTAGGTTCCGAAGTAATTGATTATTCAATAGAGCCATCACAGTGAGAGTGATAGAATGACGTCGAAAAAGTAGTTCCTTATCTTCAAAACTGCTTCATCAGAAAGCACATGTTAATAGA